TGCAGGTTATTGTGTTAGTGATGCAAGTTGTCACAATTACTGTTAGGTTCATTTGAGGATTTAATGAATGAATTTTGGGGCTCTTAGGAATGCACTGAGCCTAAAGACCATTACATTTTTATCAACTATTTATTACTTTACAGCAATAAAGTCTATACAAGTTTATTACCTAAATATTTCCCAGGCCAACTAATAAACTTCAAATGCTACATCAGCTGTACACTGGATGTATTTTGAACAACATGCATTGTAGATGCACAATTAGATTTTGAATGTCACTGGCTTATTCCTATGTTTCCACAGAGAAACAGAAAGAAAACACTGGAAATTTCTGGAAACTAAATATTAATTACATCAAATACAACTGTGTTTTTGAAAGATAAAGCAAGATGAATCCACAATCAAACCTGGCTCTGGAAGTGGGTTGTGACAGCAGCAGAATGTTGCCTTCTTTGGGCTTTTTCTTTCCAATAAAATTTCCCCACCTGTAAGATCTGTGAGCCAGTACTCTTAGGATTCACAGTTTTTTCACTATGTCATTCCAGTAGATGTTGCAGAAAGATGTACAGACTAGATTAGATTGCCTACTTTCCAAAATTACGAAATAAAATAAGATGAAGAAGACAGACTGAATGTTTGAATAAAATACCATGAGGTTCTACAAAGAGACTGAAAGTCACATTTAGTTGATAGTTGGAGGCTCTCAACACCCTGATGACTAGAGGACAACTAACTTGAGAAGAGTAGGAAAAGCAGAGCAAGCTCCTCATTTGGAAAGAAAGTTTATCCTTCTATTTTCTGTATCTGTTATTACAATGTTGGTGAATTTACAGCAGCCCGTCCAAGATGAGTAATTCTGAACAATATCATTCTGCCATTTATTTTGCCTATCACTTTGAGGTAAAGTTGTTACAGTGTTGCAGCCAACACAGGTATTGTTTTCTTTCTTTTGAGAGGTAAGAAGAAAAGCATGAAGAACAACACAGCAAAGAGAACAAGAGTATCCTCACTGACTTCCTGGTAAAACAGATTCAGCAGCAGCCAAGGGCAACATCATCCCACAGGACTGCAGGAGTGGCCTGCCCCTCTGTGCTTTGCATCATGTAGGTGCTCAAATGTGGCACAGAATTAGATCATATGAACAACTAACCAAACAGATACCCGATGTCAATTTACAACTTACACAGATGGAACATAAATGCCAACACCTGCTTTCTTACTCTGACAGCCAAAAAAATGTCCCAGTTAAAGCCACACTCACCACTCTTTCCAGAGCCCCCTACCAACTCTCCCTATCCTCTTCATGATAGCTGATGCCTACACTTCTGTAATTAGTTTTAAAACAGCAGAGCAGTGGATTGCAGAGAGCACTTTACAGAAACTGCTGAATAAAAAAAAAAAAAAACAACAAAACAAACAAAACAAAAAAAAACCCCAAAAAACATAAAAAAACTCTTTCCACTTCATATATTGTCAGATAGGTAAAACACCAAAGTAACACAAGCAGCACTGCGATGGTCCAACATGTTGGGACTGCTGTCTTCCATTGAAAGTATCTAGGTCCACTAGGTATCTAGGTCTACTTCCATGGAAAGTATCTAGTGGGGTTAGAACCTGCTGTTCAGGCACAGTCACTTATTTCTGACCAGTAGTATTCATCATAAACTGAAATAAATGCAACAATCATCCTCAGGCAACAGATACATCAGATTTTTGTTACTTTAATTCCAAGTGAGAAGATCAGAGCAACATTTGTTTTTCACTATCACTATTTACATGGAAAGAAATTATAGGATTTCCCAGCAAGAAAAACTAAAATCTCCAGCTGAAACTAGTACAAGAATGGATTCAGCTACCTTTTCCAAGAACATGAGGATGGTTAAACCATCCAAGGACTTTGCAAATTTATCATCTGGCTTCAACCTCAACCTTTCGGCACAAACCCAAAAGAAAATCAAGACAGGCAACAAGAAACAACTGCTTTCATCACCTGAATCCCATTCTTTTTGATCCATATGCTCTGTGGTTTTCATTGCCTGAAAGCACCCGTTAAGAAAGATCTACAAGGAGACAGAGACAACTACGATGTTGCTGTTCTTCTAAATGTGAGTTTTACAAAAATAAGGAAGAAAAATTACGTCGGAGACAAAATGATTATGTATTTCTTTGCATGTCTAAGACAGAGAACTGCATAATGTTCCTAAAATCAAGAAAGGAAGCCATTAAAAGTAAAATACATTAAAAAACCCAGTAAGAAATTAAAGTTGGATAGTGAAATCTGAATATATGTGGTAACAGAAGTAATTACTTTGCTCTATATAGCTTATATAGAACAAATATTTAAATAGATCTCAAATGTAAAAAGCATTATTTACATTAAGGCCATTTTAACAGATTAGATTACTTTGATACATTTATTACTTGTTTTTTGTTTTATAATCTAAGTTATATGAACTGAGAAGACATTTTGAAAATAAAATATGAGTGACAAACCCTTCACACAAGTTGATGTTTTCATGCTTGCTCCCTTTTTTTCAACATAGTCAATTAAAAATGAATGCACCAAAAATTCACTCTGCAATTTCAAGTTTTTGAAAACTGGCACATGAAGAGAATAAATGTTGATGCTATTACATCAATGCCTCTGCACAAAATTTTCCCACCATTATCTTGAAAGCTCTAAATGACTGTCTTTGGGAAAAGAGAGTAGAGGTATTTTTAAATGCAGTAAATAGATGGGGGTTTTAAACACACATATAAAGCACACTCATTATAAATACTGGGGAATCAAATGAGAATGCAGAGCTTCCCACTGTATGTATACATGACAAACCAAATCTGCTTGTTGTACTCCAACAACAAGAAGCTTCCAAAGAATCGGGTAAGATATGAGAGGAGGCCATTCCCCTACCCTTTGGCATTCTGTATCTACACAAAGGGCAGAGCAGCCAAAGTCTGTTATATATTACTCTGAAAATATCCCACAAACAGTACATAAAAGCCTCATATTTTGGTCAAATCTATTCTAGAAACATACATGCAAGTACGGAATTAGACCAGTGGAAATTAACTAAAGAGTTACAGATGGCCCTGTATATAAAGAAGTACAATATAAGAGAGACCATCTGGAAGTATGTTTTGTCCTTAACTGTTTGGTTTTTTTGGTTGTTTTTTCTTTTTTTTTTTTTTTAAATCCTCCTTTCTGCTTTTCCTTTTCTAGCTGCAAGTTTTCACTGTGCAATGAAACTGTGCTTGTTTTAGTTTCCGAAAAAATGAGGACTTGATCTATACACCTGCCAAGCTGGGAATCTGAAGTAAAGATTCAGGCTGAATATTGAGGAAGCCAACATTTTAAACATCAAACTTACCTGGAGATACTTGGGATGTGTTTAAGGAGTGCAGTTACAGAGTGAATCCTTACTGATTTTTCATCATCAAAAAAAGCTACATATTTAACAAAGAACTTGTTCAGGAAACAAGCAGATATTCTTTGAGTAAGATGCATGCAATTATTGTTGCTGTCTTCAACTAGAACAACATTTAAACGTAAGCATTAACCCAGCTTGTAAAAAAAGCACATTGGCACGCACCCCATCTTGCTACAATTGCACGGCATTTGTGCTACCAGAATCAGGAGAGGAATCGTGGGATCAAACACAAATAGTGAAATATTTTTGTACCGCCACATTCATGATAAAATGTCACCTGCTGAGGTGTAGTGGGGTAAAAATTAGGTACTGGTTAGTGAGGAGGTACTGAGCCTCCTGAGACAGTCAGCCTTGCTTCAAATACCACATTTGCTGAGTTCTACTGTTTTTCACATGGATTAAAGGTCTTCACGTGTATGATACTTTAAACTAACAGTAAAAAATATTTAATTAGCTTTCATTTTCAGAGGAATGCCTTGCAATGAAACTTTAGAGCATATTTTTCCTATCCTGAAGTATGGGAATAAGTCCCTTTAGCATAAATGTCCCATTAGCGACATTGAATGTGGTATGGTTTAGATTATATTCCCAGGCTAATATGTTATGGCCCTGGACAAATAAAACCAAAATAAATTATATCCATCTTTCCATAAATTCCATTATAGCTTAATTGTAAGATTTTTTTTCTTTCTTTTTTTTTTCTTTAATTTGTCTTTTTTTAATATCTGAATTGCTTGCATGTGCTCTTTCCCTGTCTGAGTCAACACAGCATGGCAATTTGTCGTTATGATAGATGAAAACGGGGAGCAACTCAATGAGTTGTTTTTTTTTTTTCTTTAGTTAGTTAATATATCTGTAGCCCACAATTAACATCATTACATACCTAACACAAAAATTATATACTGCATTTTCCTTACATTACTCTTACATTCACATTTTTCCATCACACATAATATGGAACAAAGCTACAGTGTGTTCTGTATTAACAAATCAGGGGGTCTTCCTCACGTGGGACAAAAAAGTAGCATTAATGGCATCACTAGTTGTTTGTGAGACACACGCACTGCTACTATATCAGGTCAAGTGGTCTGTAACCTGCTTATCAGCAGTTAACACTAGATACAGTTTAAGAGAACAATTCAAAAACGGTTTTGATTGATTGCAACCAACTGGCAGTATAATTGCACTCAAGCCATTAGGAATCCAATTGAACCCTGATCGAGTACTTCATTACTCCTGCTCTTTTCACAAGGGCACACCATCCCAAGTAATATTTTATATGTTATAAAAGGTTAGGTTTGAAAAATTAGCATTACAAATGTCACATTTACTTCCAGCTGGAAATGTGCAACAATGTGTGACAATACTGAATAAAATGTTGAAACATGTTTTCCTTTTGTTTTACTTTACTCATTTTTGTAATACAACACTGGTTACTGGAAAATGCCTTACAGCTTTATTCAAAACACATGTTCAAAGATCTGAATGAAAAAAAGCTTTGACTCTCTCTGGAACATCTAACCAATATATCATTTGTGTGCTTCAAATTTTTTTTTAGTGTCAAGAACACTTTTATGTCTTTAAGATTTATTTAAACTAGTTTATTATATAATGAAGCTTGTCAGATCATAAGAACAAAGTCAAACAATATGCTCTATATCAAAGTATAACATTTAACATATAGATTTAAGTATACGTATCAAGTACAATGCAATCAAGCAGGGTTTAATCTGAAAATGCAAATGGTTCAGATTATTAAAGACACATCTGTCCTTTGAAGCACAATTTAGGCTGTTTATCAAAAAGCTGTGTGTAATTACATTATTCCCTCCCACCAAACATATTATAGCCATGGATTTCTTGGTTTTAAAACCTTTTGGTTTAACCCCAGGGCCAAAATTTCATAGCTTAAACCACTAACTAAAATATAAACACAAGCATAAATTTCAGAATGTACCTAATCACCTCTAGTCCACAAACTATTATGGTGGGACAGTCATTTTGATTACATTTATCTCATGGTGATAACAGAGTTTAATAAATATCAAACTATATTTAATAAATATAAAACTATCAAATAATAAATCTGAGTTTTCATATTCCTTTTTTCTCTATTTGTAAATATACATTGGTTTGCCTGCTACTGTGCAGGAGCCTGTATGAGACAAATAAAAAAGATGGGACTCTGCTTTCTTTTGCTTTGAACAACAGTGTCAACTTTACATTTGCATTCCTTATTGCCTAAATGGCAAACACTCCTAAAATGCATATGTTTAATAACAATGTATACGTAAAAACTATCTAACTCATTTTTAAACACTATTGTAAAGATCTGAAAATTTTTAAACACTACTGTAAAGACCTTTTGCAAATTAAACATTTCCAGTACTGATAAATTTATATGTAAATTTTTGCAAAGATCAACAAGTGATTGTCTCAGCTGTAAACAGCACATACCTGCAGGTTTAAACTCAAAATTGTAAATAGAACCTGCCATGCCAGCAGTCCATTAATCCTATTTTAAATGCATGGAAAATACTTAACAATGGGGATCTTTACTGCTTTATTACCATGCACAGATCTAGCAACTGTGCATACAGAGTAGTAATAACTCTCATTATACGC